GATGATGATGAGGATGATGATGATGATGATGATGATGATGAAGATGAAGAAGATGATGATGATGAGGATGAAGAGAGGAAAACATCTTATTAACATCTTAAACATCTTATTTACACGCCAGCGTCTGCAGAAGTGTAGCGTTCCGCTGTTCACACACACATCTCGTTTTATTACCAGCGCTGGCACACACACACTTACTGTAATGAAAACAAATGTGCCGTCGCCCGTTTAGTAAACAAACACACACACAAACACACAAACACACAAACAAACGCTTGTGTTCGTTCGCTGTTAGACCTTTTCCTGGCAGTGAAATGAATCAATTCCACCTGGATTTGAATATTTTCATTGAGCACATGATCACATGACCGCGGCGGTGATGTCGTTGCTGCTCTCCCCCTCGATGGAGATGATAGTTTAGTTTTTTTTTAATTGGAATGGTACGAAACTTGGTCACGGTTTTGGCACTTGCTGTGTGAACACAGGTTTGAACAGGTTTAAAGGTCCTGAGAGCAGCAGTCTCACTCGTGCTCCTCGCGCTCAACACCCTGAGAGAGTGTCCTCTAGTGGAAGCGCTCGGGACTGCAGCCGAACACACTCTCACTGAACACTCCTTTACTGAGAGATCAGCTCACATGCGGAACACAACTTGATTAGATTTATGGCTTTGATTTTCTTGCAGGTTTAGAGTAAAATGTGTTTTTGAAAATATGTATTTCATATAAAAATGTTAAATAATATTTTGTGCATTTTTCGCCTGTTTAACAATCAAACGCTTGTGTTCGTTCGCTGTTATGGATCGCTTTTAGCCATTTTCCTGGCAGTGAAATGAATCACTTCCACCTGTGTTTGAGTGTGTTCCCTGAGCACATGCTGGCGTGAGCGCGTGACGTACGTCCATGAGCGCGGCGTTGATGTAGTTGCTGCTCTCGCCGTCGATGGTGATGAGGAAGGGCAGGCATCGGTCAGGAGGAAGGACATCCATGCATCGGTTCTTCTCGTGGTTCCGCGGCAGCAGAGCGATGCTACAGTCCTCCACGCGCAGCGTCGGCGTCACCATGTTCAACGTCTGCCAAACACACACACATATTCATATCAACTTATTTTATTCTATTACAGCGTAAGGCCATTACCACTAACCCTCTGGTGCTCTTCGGTCATTTTTGACCGGAAAATTCTACATTTTTTTTTTTTTTTTTTTTTTTTACTTGGTACAAAACTTGGTAAAGGTTTTGGCACTTGCTGTGAACAGAAAAAAAATCAGGGACATGATTCGAACAGGTTAAATGGTCCTGTGAACAACAGTCCTCGCGGTCAGAAATGACGCATTGGAAATGAAGGAGAGTTTCCTCTAGTGGAAGCGTGTGGAACTGCAGCCGAACACACTCTCACTGAACACTCCTTTACTGAGAGATCAGGCTCACATGTGGAACACACTGGGGTAGATTTATGGCTTTGATTTTCTTGCAGTTTTAGAGTAAAATGTGTTTCTAAGATTAACAGTTTAAGTTGGAAATTTAATTTTCAGGTCTATGCTCAGAAAGTGAACAAATGGATTATAAATACAGCGTAAACATAATTTAGTATCATAAAATCCCCTAAAAATACAAAATATTAAAAAAAGAATTGTATCAAACTTATCAAAGTTTCTCTTATCTTCTATCTTCTAAGATTAGTTCCATTTCATAAAAAAAAAAAAAAAAAAAAAAAAAAAAAAAGGGTCATTTGACTGAGACGCGAAGAGCACCCGAGAAAATGTTTTACTTCATTATTCGATGTATTGCAGCTTATCATCTTGACTATTTGAGTGTGTTTCTATGGTTTACATGCTGTGCCACACTGACCCGGAACTCCTCCTTGATCTGGCTGGAGTTGGTCTGCGGGTCCAAGCGGTTCATGTCGTAATACACCGAGCGAAGCTGATTGGCCGGGATTGTGGTGTCGCCACAGAGACACGCCTCCAGGATGGCGTCATGGATGAACACATACTGCTCCTGAAACAGCAATACACCAATGACAGATCAATACATCCATCAATACATCCATCAATACATCCATCAACACATCCATCAACACATCCATCAACACATCCATGAATACATCCATCAATATATCCATCAATACATCCATCAACACATCCATCAGATCAATACATCCATCAACACATCCATCAACACATCCATCAACACATCCATCAATACATCCATCAACACATCCATCAATACATCCATCAATACATCCATCAACATATCCATCAACACATCCATCAACACATCCATCAATACATCCATCAATACATCCATCAACACATCCATCAACACATCCATCAACACATCCATCAATACATCCATCAGATCAATACATCCATCAACACATCCATCAACACATCCATCTTCCATCAATACATCCATCAGATCAATACATCCATCAATACATCCATCAATACATCCATCAACACATCCATCAACACATCCATCAATACATCCATCAATACATCCATCAACACATCCATCATCCATCAATACATCCATCAATACATCCATCAACACATCCATCAATACATCCATCAACACATCCATCAACACATCCATCAATACATCCATCAACACATCCATCAACACATCCATCAACACATCCATCAACACATCCATCAATACATCCATCAACACATCCATCATCCATCAATACATCCATCAATACATCCATCAACACATCCATCAATACATCCATCAATACATCCATCAATACATCCATCAACACATCCATCAATACATCCATCAATACATCCATCAATACATCCATCAATACATCCATCAACACATCCATCAATACATCCATCAATACATCCATCAACACATCCATCAACACATCCATCAACACATACATCAATACATCCATCAATACATCCATCAACACATCCATCATCCATCAATACATCCATCAACACATCCATCAATACATCCATCAACACATCCATCAACACATCCATCAACACATCCATCAACACATCCATGAATACATCCATCAATATATCCATCAATACATCCATCAACACATCCATCAGATCAATACCTCCATCAACACATCCATCAACACATCCATCAATACATCCATCAACACATCCATCAATACATCCATCAATACATCCATCAACACATCCATCAACACATCCATCAACACATCCATCAATACATCCATCAGATCAATACATCCATCAATACATCCATCAACACATCCATCAACACATCCATCAACACATCCATCAATACATCCATCAATACATCCATCAATACATCCATCAACACATCCATCAACACATCCATCAATACATCCATCAATACATCCATCAACACATCCATCAACACATCCATCAACACATCCATCAATACATCCATCAATACATCCATCAACACATCCATCAACACATCCATCAATACATCCATCAACACATCCATCAACACATCCATCAATACATCCATCAGATCAATACATCCATCAGATCAATACATCCATCAACACATCCATCAACACATCCATCAATACATCCATCAATACATCCATCAACACATCCATCAACACATCCATCAACACATCCATCAACACATCCATCAACACATCCATCAATACATCCATCAATACATCCATCAACACATCCATCAACACATCCATCAATACATCCATCAACACATCCATCAACACATCCATCAATACATCCATCAACACATCCATCAACACATCCATCAACACATCCATCAATACATCCATCAATACATCCATCAACACATCCATCAATACATCCATCAATACATCCATCAACACATCCATCAACACATCCATCAACACATCCATCAATACATCCATCAATACATCCATCAACACATCCATCAACACATCCATCAACACATCCATCAATACATCCATCAACACATCCATCAACACATCCATCAACACATCCATCAATACATCCATCAGATCAATACATCCATCAATACATCCATCAACACATCCATCAACACATCCATCAACACATCCATCAATACATCCATCAACACATCCATCAATACATCCATCAACACATCCATCAATACATCCATCAATACATCCATCAATACATCCATCAACACATCCATCATCCATCAATACATCCATCAATACATCCATCAACACATCCATCAATACATCCATCAACACATCCATCAACACATCCATCAACACATCCATCAATACATCCATCAACACATCCATCAACACATCCATCAACACATCCATCAACACATCCATCAATACATCCATCAACACATCCATCATCCATCAATACATCCATCAACACATCCATCAACACATCCATCAACACATCCATCAATACATCCATCAACACATCCATCAACACATCCATCAATACATCCATCAACACATCCATCAATACATCCATCAATACATCCATCAATACATCCATCAACACATCCATCAATACATCCATCAACACATCCATCAATACATCCATCAATACATCCATCAACACATCCATCAACACATCCATCAACACATCCATCAATACATCCATCAGATCAATACATCCATCAATACATCCATCAACACATCCATCAACACATCCATCAATACATCCATCAATACATCCATCAATACATCCATCAACACATCCATCAACACATCCATCAACACATCCATCAACACATCCATCAATACATCCATCAATACATCCATCAACACATCCATCATCCATCAATACATCCATCAATACATCCATCAATACATCCATCAACACATCCATCAACACATCCATCATCCATCAATACATCCATCAATACATCCATCAATACATCCATCAACACATCCATCAACACATCCATCAACACATCCATCAACACATCCATCAATACATCCATCAACACATCCATCAATACATCCATCAATACATCCATCAACACATCCATCATCCATCAATACATCCATCAATACATCCATCAATACATCCATCAACACATCCATCAATACATCCATCAATACATCCATCAACACATCCATCAACACATCCATCAATACATCCATCAATACATCCATCAACACATCCATCAATACATCCATCACTGATCGACTGATGTCGGCTTTAGTTTTAGTCTTATATGATAATGACATATATATCTTCCGTTTTTAAATATTTCGTTTTCAATTTAATATTAAATAATAATATGTACTTTATATTTTATTTATTAAATATATTTAAATTTGATAAATATTCTAATAAATTTAGAAATGTCATGTTGTACTCATTTGCTATCAATATATTATATATTATATTATATTGCTCACAGTTTTATTTTAGTATTATTTATATACTATTATAGTTTTATAAAAATTATTAATTAGCTTTTATTTTTATATTTTCGTTTTTCATTTTAATTTTAGTCAAATTTTTAGTAATATTTGTTACTTTGTGTTATTGTCATTTTTTTTAGTTTAAAACAAAATACTATATAGGTTTAATTTATTTGTATTTTTATTTCAGTTTTAGTTTTTATTTCTTTCCAGTGAGAATTTATTTCATTTAGTTTCCAAAGCAAAATTTTTTTTTTTTTTTTTTACATTTTCTATGATTTCATGCAATATGTATATTTGTATTTTATTTCAGCTTTATTTCAATAAACAGAAATGTGTTTAATAGTGTTATTTAATGATAGGTCATTTTTCTGTAGATTTGGGGGTTTGAGCACAAATTTAACCTTTTGAATATAAACAATGAAATCTCAGAAAATGTAATGTTTATTAAAACTTCAGAAGGTCATATTTCTCTGGACGGAAACACTCTTATATAACGGATGCCAGACGCCGATCAGACTGACCGCTTGACGCAAATCATTCATGAAGTGACATTTGGAATATCCTCAGGTTGTGTCTCTCCATGCGACGGTCAGATAAAGTCTCAGGCTAGGCATTCTTTATGGTTCTTTATTATAACCTTATTTATAGAAGCACAAGGTCTGATATCTCTGAGTGGGCGGAGCTTGAGTGAGAGGCAGCGTGTGATTGGCTGCTGTGAGGTGTGTGTGTGATTGGCTGCTGTGAGGTGTGTGTGTGATTGGCTGCTGTGAGGTGTGTGTGTGATTGGCTGCTGTGAGGTGTGTGTGTGATTGGCTGCTGTGAGGTGTGTGTGTGATTGGCTGCTGTGAGGTGTGTGTGTGATTGGCTGCTGTGAGGTGTGTGTGTGATTGGCTGCTGTGAGGTGTGTGTGTGATTGGCTGCTGTGAGGTGTGTGTGTGATTGGTCACCTCGGTCTGGACCATGTTAACCCTGCGAGAGCGCAGTTCTCTGACGCAGTTGTAAATGTCCACGACTCCTTCTCGCTCCGCCATGTCCAGCATGATGTCGATGACGATGAAGCATCCGGTGCGTCCGGCTCCAGCGCTGAGGACACACACACACACACACACACACGTGTTTAACAGAACACACACACACACACACACACACACACACAGGTGTTGTGCGGAGAGAGGGTCGAGCGTCACCTGCAGTGCACCACCATCGGCCCCGCGCTCGCAGGACTCTTGGCTTTGACCCGGCGGATGAATCCCAGCAGACCCGTGGAGTGATACGGCACTCCGTGATCCGGCCAGCCGGTGAAGTGGAACTGCCGGATCTCTCTGATCTCATGAGCTCCTCGCTGCAGTCAACACACACACACAGATGAAGTCATGGCATTGTGTTCATACTAGTGACACACACACACACACACACACACACACACTCACACTCTCTCTCACACAAACATATACAGTTGAAATTATTCAACCATTTCAATATGTGTGCCCATTGCAAATCAGGTTTATTGGCAAAATGTACAGACTTTCAGCTGTTTGCAATGAACAAATTCAACAAAAGTAATTGAAATAGCTCATGTTTCAAGTGGTTTCCCTAAATTCAACTGAAAATGCAACTTTTAATGACTTCTGCAGTTTCAAAATTACTCAACGCCCTGAATATAATCCCTCAGAACAGCACAGATCTGCAGAACAGGCGTCGTCACACTAATCAAGGGCCTCATGAGCGGCACCAGGTGTGCTTGAGCTAGAACACATGACACATCTGAACTGGAGAGGTTTGTGGAGTGTCACGTTTGACTGCAAGTTAGAAATATGGCTAAGGGAAAAAAATGGTCCAATAAGTTAAGAGAAGATTTCATCGGCCTTCACAAACAAGGAGCAGAATATAAAAAGAGTGAAGGCACTAAGGCCTCGTTTACACTGTCAGTGAAATGTGACCCAATTCCGATTTTTTACTCGTATGCGACACAGATCGGATGTGTTCTATGACAGTGTAAACAGGAAAAAAACGCATGCATTCGGATATTTCGAGATCGGTTTCAGGCCTCGTTCATATGTGGAAATAAATCGGATATGTGCCAATGCGACTGTCATGTAAACAGGCAGATCGGATTTTCCGAGGCATTAGGCTGCGTCTCCGCGGTTTAATGACGAGAGAAACCCCGACGCGCATCTGCGGATGGACAGATGGCCCGATGAAACATTGTGTCGTCGTAGGAGAGGAATGTGGACACACGTTGACACAACATATCAAAGGTTGGCTTGCTCATCCTAAAATTTCGGACCCACTGCTCCTCGTTAAAGCCCGCCACGATCTCATGAAAGTGCGTTTATTGCACATTTTTTTTCACGTGCCATTTACGCCAAAAATAGTTTTTGCGTGCATGATACGCACTTTATGGCGTTTAATGCGCACGTTTACAGTGCGTATCATATGCAAGTAAAAACTATTTTTGGCGTATAAATGGCATGAGAAATAAAATTTGTGCTATAGATACTCACTTTTATGAGATCGTGTTGTATGTTCCCACCAGTCCTGAGATCTCGCTGCGCGTTCGTCCATCTGAGCAAGAAGACCCCTTTAAACATGCGCGATGTTTCAGTCAAGTGTAAACACATGACTCGGATATGGGTCACAATTTAAAGAACGTGTAAACGGACGAAAAAAAAAAATCGGATATAGGCAACAAATCAGAATTGGGCATCAAGACCTGCAGTGTAAACGAGGCCTAAATGCTCCTAGAGACGCCGTTGGAAGCATAGTTTGCGAGTTCAGAGTTAAAGGAACAGTGGTTACACTCCCTGGCAGAAGGAGGAAGATCTCAACGGCTCAGTAAACCCAGGAGTGACTGCAGAAGATCTGGTGGCCACAGACACTGAGGTTCAGCTGTACAGTAAAGCTCGTACTAAACACATCAGAGCTCCAGGACTACACCACTGCTGACCTAAACGCACAAGTGCTCAAAATCATATAAATAAGCCACAGAAGCTTTGGGATTCTGTTCTGTGGAGCGATGAACTGGAGCTTCTCGCCCCTGTGGATCAGCGGTGTGTCGGAGGAAGAGGAATGAAGCATAAGCTGATGAGAACACGGTCTACAGTTCAGCGTGAGGAGCTCGTGATGCTCTGCGCTGATCTATATCCTCCGGCTCTGCAGACCTGCAGCGTGTGGAAGGAGAGATGATCACTGAAGGATCAGGAGATGCTGGGAGAGAACATCATGCCGTCAGTGAGGAGGCTGGAGCTCGGACCTTCAACAGGACAACGATCCCGAGCAAACCTCAGACTCCACCCAGGCCTGGTGTCAGGAGAAGTGCTGGGAGATACAGGGGCAGCACAGTCTCCTGACTCGAACCCCACAGAACACCTCTGAGGGATGTGAAGAAGGCCAGGAATATCCCAGAGCTGGAGGCCGGTGCTCATGAGGAACGGCTCAGATCCCTCAGGAACAGAAGCTGCTGTGGATCATACGTCTCGATCCAGCAGGTCGACAGCAGACGGCTGCTCGACTCACAGCTGAAGACGCTGCCATGAAGGCGTGAAGAGTTATGAAACTGCAGAACTCATTAAAAGTTGCATTTTTAGTTGAATTTGGGGAAACCATTCGAAACATGTGTTGTGTTGAGCTATTTCAATTACTTTTTTTTGATTTGTTCATTGCAAACAGCTGAAAGTCTGTACATTTTGCCAATAAACCTGATTTGCAGTGGGGGGTGAATAATTGCGATTGTAACTGTATATGAAATGAATGTAGTGTAGTTTGATCATATTATATTTATAACTGATGTTGAACCTTTTCCACAGCGAAGGTTCGAATGACGTATTCCGAGAGAAGCTGCGTCTCGATGAGCGTCACCTTCATGTCCCTGTAGATCTCAGTGTCGTCAGGCCAGTACTTACAGCACTTCACCTGCACACACACACACACACACACACACACACAGGTTCATGAGCAGCTGATCGTTCAAACACACACCAGTTTATAAACAACCTGCTTAAACACGCGACCGTGTACAGAAGCATAAACATCATCAGCATTTAATCAGGAGTTTCCAGAGGGATCTGAAGTGTCCCGGATCCCAGAGATTATCCCGGACTAATTAACCAGGTTAACCCCTTCATAACCAGACCACACCTCCTGAGACACACAGACTCTAATCACTCAAACTCATTAATGAAGTCAAGCGTTCTCTCCCTTTATCTGTCCATCTGTTTGTCATCCGTTTATTAGCACCCATCCGTTCCTCATTATTATCCTGTTTTCTCTCTATGAGTCTATTAAGACGGCTCTAATTGGCGGGATAATTGCGCTCTAATGGCGGAGCATATTTCGCCTCAGTCGCCGCCAGGCCGGGAAACAAAGGGCCGTGATGCTATCGGCTCCGTCCTAATTATCATCAGAGCATCTCTAAACGAGGGAGCATTAATCACGTAATGAGTTATTTACATATTCAGTCACACACATCCTGAAGCGACACACAGCATCCCGGGATAAAACAACAAACACACGGAAAAATGCAACATTTTCTATATGTCATAATTTGAAGTATTCATTACTTCGATGAGCTCATTGTTTCTGCCTTAAATTTTGACATTGTTTAAATTGATACATTTTTAGGTAACTGTGTGATTTTGTATATGTATATTTCTGAAATGCATAACTTAGACAGTTTCCTCAGACAATAACAGATCACTGTAAACTGTAATATGGACTCATGCATTTTCTACTGTGAAATGATGTGTGTTGTGAAACAAATAAACAAATGTGAATTGAATTGAACTGAAAAATACAACCAAACGTCTGTTCTAATGATTGAGAGTGAATGTCATCGGAAACCAAAGCAGAAGAATCAAAAAGCAAACTAATGAAGTTTTGCACAGAGATGATGTATTTTTGCATTATGACAGTATTTCTGACGAGTGATTGACAGGTCTGAGCCGCTGAACGGCGTGACTTTGTGAAGTTCAGGGTTTTTCTGGCCTACTTTCATCACACTCTAATTTTAGCCGTCAGCGAGCAGCGAATCCAGCAGTTTTCCTCTCTTAATGGCTTATTAATGACTGGAATGTGATTCCAAACGAGACCCTTTTGTTCTTGTCAGATATTAAGATGGGGTTTTAAAATCCCATTAGTTCCAAGCGTCAGATTTCCGCTGAGATTTGATCCTGGTTCCGCCACAGGCTCTTCCGGCACAATGGTGTCGCTCGCTCGCCTCGTCCCTCTGAGAGATTCTTCCCGACCCGACGCAGAGATTCGGAGATGATCACAGCGCTGCTGTCTCCAGATTACAGCGGATGAAGTCAGTGTTTTATCCGGGATAATCTCCCTCTAACAGGGCTAACTTTACCAGTCTGAGAACAGCAGTGCTGACGCTTCACACTCACACTAATCAGCTTACAGATGACCAGCATTATAGAGGAGTTATCAGAACACACACACATTATGGAGGAGTTATCAGAACACACACACATTATGGAGGAGTTATCAGAACACACACACACACACACAGACACACACACACACACACACACACGCACACACACACACACACACACAGACACACTCACTCACTCACATGCACGCACACACACACACACACACACACACACACACACACATACACTGCTTATCCTAATCAAAGCCAGTGTATTTAATTTCTGCTGACAAAGTCAATCTATGGATCCACATTAAAGGATTAGATTGAGAACAGACATGAAAGGAGTGTGTGATCTCGTTTCACCCTGATCTCATTGAGCTGCTAATTAAGAGCAACACCAGATCTGTGTGTCGGAAAATACGTCTTTCCAGCCGGTAAACAGGACAACACTCACCGTATCCGAGGCTCCTGGACATCTGTTGAGCCTCACACCCGCCATTACCCACAGTGTGTGTGTGTGTGTGTGTGTGTGTGTGTGTGTGTGTGTGTGAGTGTGTGTGTGTGTGTTTGTGTTTGGACGGCGTCCCGCTCTTCTTCTTGTCCAGTTGTCGGTGGCATCTGTGAGTCCGGCTCATATAAATATGGGAGAATATGGGACAATACGCGAGAATATGGGACAATACGCGAGAATATGGGAGAATGTGGGAGAATATGGGAGAATACAGGATAATACGGGATAATATGGATGAATATGGGAGAATACAGGAGAATATGGGAGAACACGGGATAAAACGGGAGAATATGGGACAATACGGGAGAATACAGGATAATAGGTTAGGGAGAATATGGGAGAACATGGTTGAATATGGGAGAATACAGGAGAATATGGGAGAATACGGGATAATATGGGAGAATACAGGATATTACGGGAGAATGTGGGAGAATACAGGAGAATGTGGGAGAATATGGAAGAATGTGGGATAATACTGGATAATACGGGAGAATGTGGGATAATACGGGAGAATGTGGGAGAATACGGGAGAATATGGGATAATATGGGTGAATACGGGAGAATGTGGGAGAATACGGGATAATAGAGGAGAATATGGAAGAATGTGGGATAATACGGGAGAATAGGGGTGAATATGGGATAATGTGGGATAATACGGGAGAATGTGGGTGAATATGGGAGAATACGGGAGAATGTGGGAGAATATGGGAGAATACGGGAGAATGTGGGAGAATACGGGAGAATATGGGATAATATGGGTGAATATGGGAGAATGTGGGATAATACGGGAGAATATGAGTGAATATGAGTGAATATGGGTGAATATGGGAGAATACGGGAGAATGTGGGAGAATTCCCAGAGTTCATCAGGAGCAGATGGTGGCGTTGATGAAGCAGCAGCAGCTTCACTCTCTCAGACACTCGAAAGCTGAAGCTGAGAATACAGCGGCCCGTCGGGAGGAATCACACGTCTCCTGAACAATAGCAGTGACCAGATGTGTGTGTGTGTGAGTGAGTGTGTGTGAGTGTGTGTGTGTGTGTGTGTGAGAGTGTGTGTGTGTGTGTGTGTGTGTGTGTGTGTGTGTGTGTGTGTGTGTGTGTGTCGCATGAATAACACTGGATGGAAAAACCAAGATGTGCATAAATTCTAAAAATGTGCATAAAAATCGCATGCGCTCCATTGAGGCAGATGAAGATTTCATCGGTAACACTTTACAAGGTTCATTAGTTAACATTAGTTTAGTTAACATGAACTAAGAATGAACAATACTTCTACAGCATTTATTAATATTAGTTAATATTAGTTTCAATTATACGTTATTAAAATCAAAGGTTGTATTTGTTAGCATTAGTTAATGCACAGTGAACTAACATGAACAAACAATGAACAGCTGTATTTATAATAACTAACACCAACAAAGATTAATAAATACTGTAACATATGTATTGCTCATGTTAGTGAATACATTACTCATGTTAACTAATGAACCTGATTATAAAGTGTTTCCATTTCTTCTGATGAGAAGACAATCAGGCTGTGATTGGCTAACTGGAGTAACCAGTGGACCAATGGCGTCGCAGCGTCTCTAATGTTGGTTTGGTGTGTGTGAAACGCCGGAGTGGAAGTGTGTGTTCAGAGTGATTGGGTGTAATTCCCTCCAGAAGCGTCTCACACACACGAGTGTGTTCCCGAACACCAGCATCCGCACGCCAGAGAACACGCCAGCGTTAGCGGAGTTAGCGGAGTTATTTTGCATCAGGAAGTGATGATTCTGTTCTCTTGAACACGTGGGATGGAAACGCTGCTTTATTCACTAATGTTTTATACCATATTCCAGGTTTGCAACTTTGTTACAAATTTCAGGTTAAATCCACAACTTTGAATGGAAATGACACTTTAACAATGTCAATATGACGCCAATTTCACTCAACCAATCACGTGAGTTTGGGGCGGAGCTATCGGTTTGACTGGCCAATGACGGACAGCGAGTTTTTACTCAATTATGAACAGCTATTATAAACAGTATTGTATCTATTTTGTTTTTCTAAACCATTTTAACATTTTAAAGTGAAGTGTGGAAAAGCACTTTTTGTGCTCAACATCAAAGTTCATGAAAAAAATTTTTTGTTCCTTAAAATATATATTTTTTTAAACTTAAAACTTAGCATTTCTCACTTTCATTCAGTTGATGTACTAAAATAACTAACACTAAATGAATAAAAACTATATAGACATATATAAAAAACTAATAACTAGGGACTGCAGATGAAAACTAGTATCTGTTTACTAATTCTGGCGTATTTACATGGTGTAGTTTTCTACAACAATGTTCATGAATACGCATGGTCCCTATCAAATAAACTAAATAAATAATAAATAAATAAAAATAATACAAATGCCAGTTATTATTGACAGAAGTGTAACCCCTCTCTGGTTATTTATTTTATTATTGAATAGTTTATTGAGTTAAGAGCTTATTGTAAATAGTTATATGTATTCAATTATTATAATTAGAGTTGTTTTTAACAAACATAATTAACATATAATTAACATAATTAACATATAATTATGTTGTGTTGTATATATGCCTCGTTCTACGATAAAAGCGTATTAATGTATGACGGGTGACGTACTGACTCACAGTATCTCTGGCTAAAAGCAAATTAAAAGCGCAGTGCTGGTGTTCTCTCTCACACTCACACACACACACACACACACACACACACACACACACACACACACACACACACACACACACACACACACACACACACACACACACACACACACACACACACACACACACACACACACACACACACACACACACACACACTAACACTCCATGAACATCTGGAGTCGGCGTTCCTCCATCAGTGTGTCGCACTCGATGTTCTCGATCTTTACAGGATTCAGTCCGGAGAGATTTCTTTAATTTTGTCTTTAATAAAATCACCACAACCGGCAGATCTCAGATCAGGGGAATATTAAACTCAGGTTCACTCACCCGGCCGACCTCGACCAGATTGGTAACCATGACGATCGTTGCGGTGTTCTCCTGCCAGATCATCCTCCAGAAGTCGTAGACGGTCTCCTGCATCGGGCCTGTGTGTGTGTGTGTGTGAACACGAGAAACATGAGAACAGAGACTCTTCAACTCAGTTCATTTAATATTCAGCAATATTATTGATCTCCTGCATTGACAGCATTATATGAGAACTGAACTGAGCTGGACGATGACATCACGGTTTACTCTAGAGCGCCTATATACAGGTCCTTCTCAAAAAATTAGCATATTGTCATAAAGTTCATTATTTTCCATAATGTAATGATAAAAATTAAACTTTCATATATTTTAGATTCATTGCACACCAACTGAAATATTTCAGGTCTTTTATTGTTTTAATACTGATGATTTTGGCATACAGCTCATGAAAACCCAAAATTCCTGTCTCAAAAAATTAGCATATCATGAAAAGGGTCTCTAAACGAGCTATTAACCTAATCATCTGAATCAACTAATTAACTCTAAACACCTGCAAAAGATTCCTGAGGCTTTTAAAAACTCCCAGCCTGTTTCATACTCAAAACCGCAATCATGGGTAAGACTGCCGACCTGACTGCTGTCCAGAACCCCTTTTCCACCAACAAGAACCGGGTGCTGGTTCAGAGCCAGAGCCAGAGCTGGTTCGGAGTTGGTTCGACTGACAAGCTTACTAAGAACCGGTTTGCCTTTCCACCGGCTAGAGAGCCACAACAGAGCCAGATCTTACGTCACTGCATACGTCTCATGTTGCCCAGCAACGCTAGTGCGGTAGCACCAAACACAAACACGCCAGGCTTGTTCGAGATGCATCGGCTTCTCGCAGATCGATCGCCGCATGACATCAAAGCACTGCGAAAGCGACCCAAAAGCACAAGGAGTCGTATGATCTCCAAACACCCCCGCAGCTCCGATCGGTCCGCGCCGCTCCGATGCATCTCGAACAAGCCATCAACAATAACGGACGATGCGTTACTATGGAGGCTCATGGGTTTGCAAAAATACATCGGAATCCAACGCGTTTGTGCAGCTCGCCGTAACTTACATAGACGGATATTATAATCAAGCTGCTATTAGCTCGCCTAGCTGCTATTTAAAAATGGCGGTCACAAGTTTCTATTCGTCTTGTTGGTCACGGTAACCCCGCCCCCAGCCCCTGACGCAAGCGGTTCTTACTTGGCTCTGTTCTAGACCAGCAATGATTTGGTGCTACTTAAGAACCACTTTTCCTGGTTCGGAGCTGGTGCGTGTGGAAAAACAAAGAACCGAATTGAAACTAGGCTCTGGCTCCGAACCAGCACCAGCTCTGCCTTGGTGGAAAAGGGGTACAGAAGGCCATCATTGACACCCTCAAGCAAGAGGGTAAGACAGAAAGAAATTTCTGAACAAATAGGCTGTTCCCAGAGTGCTGTTTCAAGGCACCTCAGTGGGAAGTCTGTGGGAAGGAAAAAGTGTGGCAAAAAACGCTGCACAACGAGAAGAGGTGACCGGACCCTGAGGAAGATTGTGGAGAAGGACCGATTCCAGAGCTTGGGGGACCTGCGGAAGCAGTGGACTGAGTCTGGAGTAGAAACATCCAGAGCCACCGTGCACAGGCGTGTGCAGGACATGGGCTACAGGTGCCGCATTCCCCAGGTCAAGACACTTTTGAACCTGTTTCTGACCTGGGCTACAGAGAAGCAGCACTGGACTGTTGCTCAGTTTTGCATGTCATTCGGAAATCAAGGTGCCAGAGTCTGGAGGAAGACTGGGGAGAAGGAAATGCCAAAATGCCTGAAGTCCAGTGTCAAGTACCCACAGTCAGTGATGGTCTGGGCTGCCATGTCAGCTGCTGGTGTTGGTGCACTGTGTTTTATCAAGGGCAGGGTCAATGCAGCTAGCTATCAGGAGATTTTGGAGCACTTCATGCTTCCATCTGCTGAAAAGCTTTATGGAGATGAAGATTTCATTTTTTCAGCACGACCTGGCTCCTGCTCACAGTGCCAAAACCACTGGTAAATGGTTTACTGACCATGGTATTACTGTGCTCAATTGGCCTGCCAACTCTCCTGACCTGAACCCCATAGAGAATCTGTGGATATTGTGAAGAGAAAGTTGAGAGACGCAAGACCCAACACTCTGGATGAGCTTAACCCCCTGGGGTCGGCTATCGCGCCGGCGCGATAGGCAGACTTTTTTTCTTATCAGTGCAAAAGAGACTCAAAATACTCTGTTGATTTTAATCTTACATGTAAGTGTTATACATCAGTCGATCCTGTTTAGTGTATATTATTTTTCTGTATACTCACAATAAAAACAAAGTGTTGTGCTTTTTGTCAAATGAAGAAAAATAAACATGATGCGAGTTTTGCCTTCTCTCTGTCAGTGCAGTCCATTCTGAAACGCGTCCGAAAAATTAACTCTAACTCTGCAAATACTTGTCACACAGGCACGAGAGATTTTTCTTTATGAAGCTTGAATTCTCTTCTTTTCAATGAAGTAATTTATATAAAAAACAAATATTCTCAGTTTATGTAATCTGTATGAAAAGAGAGTGCTGTCAGAATTTTTTTCCCCAGCTCATTACACTTCATTACGCGTTAATCTGACACGCCCACGGAGAACGCGCGCTATTCAAACGCAAATGTAGAGGAAAGCCATGACAACGCCCACATCAGCTGTTCCACCGCGGCGGTAAAATGTGGGGTGTATTTGCTACCTTTTACCGCTAAGAGGCGCTACAATCATAGACTCTGAAAAGTGTTCGTTTATTCTCTCTAATGCGTAATCTGCTGCTCATTCAGAGCGATTGAAAGCTGGTAGCAGATGAATTCAACAAGTGAAACGTAGTTAAAATAATTCATTACCACAATACTGAAATTAGGCTGAAATACTGAAATGAAATTGAATAAATAATGAAAACATAAAACATTGCAATAAAAACATTTAGGCTACATCAATGAAGCTTTACAAAAGCATAAGACTTTAACTCTAACAGCGTACAAACGGTGGCTCAGTGATCAACGCATCAACACGAGCTTCAGGGAGCTTCAATCGACCCGAGATCGAATCTCAATGTGGCATACATGTTGTTAACCGATGTTGGCCAACAGCGTTTATATTTTACCTTCTTGATGCTTAAATAGCTAACTGTTTATAACTGTTTACTTATTTAAAGTCAAGAGTTTTGTTTAATTATCATTACAACATAAATTTGCTACATTCCAGTAGAACCGCAGCCGCTGCACAAAGGACACAAACTGATGAAGGAAGATTGTCAGCCGATTGCATCAGAAAATGAAAATGAAGAAGCTCGTCTTTAGTCTGCTAAATTATTGTGTAATGTAAAAGAACACTAAAATTACTTAAGTTTGAAACCAAGTTCGAACATTTCAAGGTTTAAATAAAGTGTTTTTTTTTATTTAAAACAGGGTTGCATCGGGTTTAGAGTTTATTTCTTTTGCGATGCAAAATAAGAAACACTAGGCTAATATTATTCTTGCGACATTTTAAATTTGTATTGCCAAATAAATGACATTAAACAATTAAAACAGTAGGCCTACAAAACGAAAATTGTCCAAAGCAACATAATTAAATTAAAACATGCGTTTTTCTTTGCCTCTCTCGCGCTGAATCTCTTTTTAACAAGTTTATTTAGTCTCCCTCGCTCTCCATATGAAAGAGGAACATTAACACCTAGGCCTATTGTCCTGCGCGCACAGCACTGAACTGTCCCCCAACCCCCCACAGGCTATCGGAGTCTGAGGCTGATTTAACACAAAGAGAAGTCGTAATTCACACTTAAATCGCTATTCTAGACAGTGTTGATAATGAAGGAATTAAATGATTTAAGTTACATGTAGCCAGTGTTAATTTCGTTGACGAAAATAACGACGAAAATTATTCTTCAACGACATTTTTTCACAGACGAAAACGAGACGATAACTAAATAAAACCTAGTTTTGAATGACAAAGACTATGACGAAAATCTAATGACATTTTCGTCAACGAATAAAAACTAGACGAAAATGTTAGATAGTGACGATTTGGGAAGCGATCCGTCAGAACTGATGTCCTGCGTGTGTGATAGATGCGCACATTTGTAGGCTACTGTAACGTGATCTACCCCGCGGTCATAAAACGTTAAAAAATGTGAACGTCTGGGAGAATGAGTAGAGCAGACATATAGATCTGAATAAGAGTGACGATGCAAAAAAGAGTTCTATTCGGTGCGGTTTTCTGTGCGCGCACACCTAACCCGAAGCGTGCAGTCATGCACAATACACCTACAGCGCGCGAGTAGGCTACTGAATTGAGCTCTCTTTCGTGTCTGAATGGACAAATACACACAACAGTCTGTCTAAATGTCCGTTTTAGAGAGTATTCATGTAAACTATGCTGGTTATGTCTTAAACTGTGAGTGTATCGGATGTGCATCAGTGCAATTGTATCCGCATGTCATTGGACATGATCCGACGTCTTAAAGTGACAGTGGCAATAAACATAATGCGGTCCGTGTCCTTAATTTTGATCAAGCAACAAAAGAAAAAGAGAAAAGCATTCACTGTTTGTTAATAGCTTTAATAAGGATTAATTATATTGAATTCATAAAAATAAATATGTCTGCTTGAAAGAATAAAGAATGATGTATGCAAGTAGTTATAAGGAATGCATATATCATTCATTGTAAGACTGTGTTGTACTTTAGGAAAAGTGGTTTTATTTAATTTTAAGATATTTTTTAAGTAACAGCAGTTAAATCTGTATCTGTATTGCATGTTCAAACTTAAAAATCATTCATATTAATAGGTTAATAGATGTTTTCTCCGGGAGTAAATGGGTTTGGAAATTTTAGAGAAATTCTAAATTAACGCATTACAATTGAACTAAACCCATTATATTTTAGTCGACTAAATCTACTGTAGATTTAGTCGACTAAAATGTTATTGTATTTCGTCGACTAAAACTAGACTAAAACTAAAACAATTCAGATGACTAAAATATGACTAAAACTAAATGCCATTTTAGTCAAAAGACTAAGACTAAAACTAAATCAAAATTTGCTGACAAAATTAACACTGCA